ACGAGAAAAATGGGCCCACACCCACACCGCACCCCCACCCACACCCACACCCACACCCGCACCCACATCCACAACCACACCCTCACACCCCCCCCACACCCACACCCACACCCTTAGGATATCTTGTAAATGTTTCGTATTGAGCCCAGAAACCCAGCTACTCCAAAGAAACTTGTCATAATTCTTAGGACAATATTACTTGTTCAGATTATCATTATCTTTGTTATTGCTTTAAATGTTGTATTTCATTGAAAAATGTCACTATTTAGCTCTTTCTCAAACATTAGGTAGTTGAGTTATAGGGTGGGGTGTGGGTGTGGGTGTGAGTGGGTGTGGGTGAAGTGGGTGTGGGTGTGGATGTGGGTGTGGGTGGGTGTGAGGGTGTGGTTGTGGATGTGGGTGCGGGTGTGGGTGTGGGTGTGGGTGGGTGTGCGGTGTCGGTGTGGGCCCATTTTTCTCGTCGTCTGTACTCACACCGTACCTCCCACATCCACACCCTGCTCTTTCATGTGAAGTTGTCTGGCGAGTTTATTTAGTACTTTGGGAAGAGTACATTTAGAATCAGAATGCAGTGGTGTGTATATCTGCCTCGCCTCAGTATAGGGTTCAGTGAATCGAGAATTGATTAACGTTACTTGTATTGTAAATCATTTGTAAAACATAAATACAGTGAAAACTAAATACAAGTAACACAAAATAAGCGTCGATAAACTTCCACTGAAAGAATATGATCATGTTAAACATATAGTAAGCGATCATACGATATATGACATGTGCATCGAATAATGTTGTTCTAATGTTTGTGTATAATGAAAACAACCGAAATATATTAATAATTAGAGTGCTCACCGATAGAGATTGCCGTCTGTGTTATTTTTTTTTGTATTAATGCATCTCATAGGCTTAATGAACTTTTACACATGGTAAGTAAGGGAGGACTTTAGTCTTTTCTATGAGTATAGCAATGACTTTGCTGGTAGGGTGTAGGTGTGTGGGAGTGTGGATGTGGGTGAGTATGAAGAGAAGAATGATACTCACACTCACACCCACACCCTCTTTTAGAGGCTAGAGCCTAAAATATTGATATTTTTATTTGCATTTGTGAAAAAGCAAGTAAACAAAATAAAAAAGTCCGGTACAAATAATGACGAAAACAATATTTATACATTCATTTCATCCAGGTAGCGTACTTGTGTAAATGATACATTATCTTGCTGTTTCGTTTTTGCTTGCAACCAAAACTGTGGTACGAATCCAAGAATATAGAGAAAAGGCATAGCAGCAGCAATATATTGTGGAACGGTGCTCCCTCTAAAGATCCAGATACTAGCAAAAATGGTAAGCAATATACCAGAGATAAGAAACCATAACGGCCAAATGATATTTGAATGTTGGGGGACGACTGATCGTCTTGCATAGAGATAGAAAACAACGATCGTGTGTAACAAACAATAGAACGAAATAAATCCAAACATTCCAAAAGCAGCACTGACATGAAGATAAGGATCATGGTCTAAACTTACGATGGCCATAATAAGAAGAAATACGGCTGAGATAAGTGCTACAGCATGAATAACACATAGAATAGCACGATGAATGACAGACTGAGATTGAAAAAGATATTGTAGTCGACCAATAAGAATTAATAACATTTGTAGACATAAGAAAACAAAACCAAACACGAAATAAGGATAAGCAGAACCAATTCCAAGTTGCGAAATTTGTGGTAGGTCTTTTTCTGACCAAGTGTTCTGAAGTACTTGTCTACACACCACTAATGTTAGAATGAATGTGATGATGGCTGTAAATGGTAAAATAACAAAGGACCAATACCAGATTAGCGCTGTAGTTCGAGCCATTTTATCTTGAATAAGAAATCTGAAACAAAGAATGTATGTTGAAGTCGATATAACAAGAAAAGTTTTCCAACGGCATACAGTGTGACTGACATGCCTACTTTTATTAATATACGAAAATAATATTATAAAATAATTTTTGTTGATTTGATCTCGTTGCACTACGTGAGTTGTTGTACAGTTTGTTAAACAATGATGAAGTAGTGACTTTATTTTTGTGACTATCATAAAGTTATTTCTTTTTACTTCATTTTCATCAAGAGTGCGGGTTTCAAATCGTCTGTTGTATGGTTGTTCATAAGACAGAAAAACAACGCTACGCTAAAAACATTATTAAATCATTCTGTTAAGCTCCACACTGCAGTAATAACGATACTATGTAAGTTCTTTCTTTCTTTCTGCGAGCACGTGTGTCTAGGCGACATAACATCGTGGCGCATGACAGAACAAGAAAAAGTGTATTTACTATATTATTTTTCTTCTTCGGTGCATCATAGTCTCATCAATATATTCTCAATAATTCCCAGCAGTATTTAAATGAAGTATAGTAATGTTTTCTTGAAAAAATAAAAGTTATGAAAAATTGTGTTTGAGACATTAAGTGTCTGAATTAAAATCATATTTAGCTATTTTCTCAAATAAATCCAGTAGTTCTTCACTGATTGAACATCTTTTATTGATTAGCTTGTTTTATTTATGTAATATATTTTGTCAGAGACAGTTTAAAATAGTTGTATTTTTACAAAAATTTGAAAAAAAATGAAGTATATAAAGTGGAAACATCAAGTATGAATAAAGACGAAAACAACATTTATAAATCCCTTTTATCTGAGTTGCATATTGGAGTAAATGAATCAATATCTTGTTATTTTGTTTTTTTTTGCAAGCAAAACTGTGGTACGAATCCAAGAATATATAGAAGAGGCAGAGCGATAATGTTATATAGTACAATGGTACTTGTTAGCGTCAATAGAGGCCACTCTATTACCGCTAACTTTCCATTTGTTTGCTATTGGTTTTTCCTCTCTATTTTCTCTATGGCTAGTATGTGTTTTCTCTGGACATTCTAGTGATTTTCCTTCTTGTTGTTTTTTCTTTCTCAGTTGCTGTTGATTTTTCTCTCCGACGGTCGTAAGTTGTTTTTCTCTTCCCTTATATTTTCTTCTTTCATACTGTTCTTCTTTATTATTATATATTTATGATTATATTCATATTAATAAACCTATATATATATTCACAACTCACTCATCTCATAATCAACATAAGCAAAGTCGATATGATTATTTACTTTATTTATGTAAGATCTCTCGTTCCCATTGCAGACCGGGATTGAATATACTGATCATCTACTTATAACTGATAGTGTCGGGCTAAAACCATAATTTCCCCAATCAAGAGTCTTACAGTGTGCTACCTATGAAAATCTATATGCTGAAAGAAAAGGTAAGCAATGCACCACAGATAAGAAATTATAACGGGCAAACGATACTTGAATGCTGAGATGCTTGTGATCGTCGTGCATAAAGATAGAGAACCACCATAGCGTGTAACAAATTGTAGCATGAACAACACATAGAATAGCACAATGAATGACAGACAGAGATTGAAAAAGAAATTGCAATCGGGGGTGTGGGTGGGTGGGAGTGTGAGTGTTGGACTTTTCTAAATCCGTCCCACACCCACACTCTTCTCCCTATGTTTAGTGGTAGTTATAGATCTTGATTGATGTTTGTGTTGTGATGTTGATTCAGTTTGATGATGACGATGATGATGATGATCATTTGTTTGTCTTTCATGCTGACGTGAATGTAAATCTTCTCTGTCATCGTCATCTTTTTCTTTATGAATATGTTGACGTTACGATCTTTAACAGTTGAACGCCAATGTGGTGGTGTACGTGATCTTGAACGACTTTTTCCGGCATATTTCTATATAGAAAATTGAACATTAGATTAAATTAAATAAAAAATTCGATATAATACTACAGAACCACGACCTTTAATTGATCGACCACTTGAATCAATTCTTTTTGATGAAAGATAATCACTTGCACTAGAGAAAAACTCACATTCAAAAATGTTGATTAAATTATTTTCATACCTAGTATGTGATGTTCCATTATTATTACCATCATCATCATCATCATCATTTAAATTCTTTTGTATAAAAAATCTAGCAACAGGTATTTTTGATATTACATCGAGATCAATTGTTTTTTTAGGTACCCTTATCTCGTGATCAGATATTTCATTTGATTTTTCAATAGTTGTATTTGTTAATTGATCATTTTTATTTTCTTCTTCAACAGAAATTTTTGCTAGACGGTTGTCTTCCTTTTTTTGTCTGTTTTTTTTTTCTTTTTCCTTATTATTTTCCACGTTAATAAGTAAATCATGGATAAAAAGAAAAAGGATTGATTAACAAATTTTACTTGAATCAAGAATAAGTTGTCCACAGTGAACTATAACAACATCTTGTAATGGTCGCCTATTTGAATCAACTGAAATATTCTGAATAGTATCGACTACCGATTGACCAGATATAACATGACTAAAAACGACATGTTTACTAAATAGCAGATAAATATTTTTAAAATTAATTAATAAGATCTTACCCATCAAGATGTTCTGCTTTGGATATTGTACTAAAAATAGAAAACAATTTTCTTTTTTTTAAATGAATTTTCATTCTTACATAAAAAATTGTGATCTATTTGTGGTGGGACCTTGATTATCCATCGAAAGACAATATGCTTGATTATGTTTGATTTGCAAAGTTTCATCTAAAAAATTTTTATTAATATTCTTTCTAATAAATGTAATTTAAATGGGATTTTTCTTCAATAATGAATAGATTATCATATGTTATATGAAACTTTAAAAAATTATTTATTTGTACGCATAAATTCATTTTATGTTCTTTTATTTTATTTTTCTTTCATTTTTCCATGTAGATGTTCTTATAGAAAATGATAATGTACAGTTATAGATGGTGATGGTGCCACTATTCTATCAGTACATATATGTAGTTGGTTAGAATTGGTCGAATTCATTACGAATAAAACGTTCAATTCCAAATTCATGCTTTTTTCTTCAAATAATAAATAAATGTAAATGATCATATTTTTGATGATTTGATGAATTTCAAAATGATAAATATGATTTAATAATTATTATTACAAAGCTTTCGACGAATACAGTTCGCCA